TAACCGTCTCCACGTTGTACATAAAGTACACACGGACGATAAACGTGGACGAACGCTACGAGAAGAGCTACACGTTTTCTCTTTCTCTCTCTTATAATATCTATCTCTCTATCTCTTTACCTGTATATCTCTATCTCTCTATCTCACTTTTTCTCAAAGTGATGTTTATGTTCTGTATAAGTAAACGCAGTTTTTCAACGGTTAACGTATGCTCGAGATCAAGGTGGATGTGTGTTATATCTCTGGCAAGTTCGCGTTATAGCGTTTGGTAGAATAAGAGAGAGAGAGAGAGAGTGAGAGAGAGAGAGAGAGAGAGACACACGCACACACACATACATACATACATGTACATACACTTTGGGAAGAAGTTACGGTTCCTCCATTTTCCGCCGAAGCTTTTACACAACGTGCGACAACGGAAGCGAGAACTCGGCTTAAAGGGTTACTTATGCCTTCCACCTTTTTTTTTTCTTTCCTTTTTTTATTTTGTTTTGTTTCGAGCTTACAAAAACGTACTCTCTATTTACGATTTCTTTTTTTTTTTTTTTTCATCCCTTTTCTTTTTCTTCTTCTTTTTATTTGTATTTTTCTTACCGGTATGATAATGAAACTAATAGAATTTGTTTTTTAGAAAGAAAATTTCATTGTAATATTAATTATCGTATTTGTTGTATTGATAACATATTGGGTTGTTTGGAAAGTAATTTGGATTTTTTTTTTTTTGACACAATGAAGGCATTAATTGATGCAAATCGGTAATTAACAACACGTGAGATCACGTGAGAGATTACATTTATCAGATATGCGAAAAATTGCATTTTATTTTTGAGTAATTTTGTTGCTGATATTAATCCTTTGAATACTTTTACTTAAAATGTTTTGTAGGAACAGAAAAATTTATTATTATTATTATTATTATTATTATATAAATAGTAAAATAAATAAATTAAAATATATATAAATAATAAATTAAATAATATATTATTAATAAATAATAAAAAAAATATAAATGTTATATAAATATTAAATTACTTTGCATAAATATTAACAAACACGTATATATACGTCCATAGTACTCAAAGGGTTAACAGTTTTTAATTGAAAGAAACAAAAAACTAAAATTACACGTCCATAATTGGATATTAGATGTGTTATATGTAAAATACGGGGCATTTTATGGAGGGCCACTATAGTGGCTTGTAGTATCCAAAGGGTTAACTGTTTATGCCCACTTATAATGCCTAGGTTTAATCTTGAAGCTAAAATTGTCTTCATTTTCACAAAAAAAAAAAAAACTAAATTACTTTCCGAACAATTTGGTTTTGATTATGTTTTTTTTTTTTTTAAATAATATTTTCATGTTACATAATTCGTAATGAACAATAATATCGTAAAAAATTTCAATTTCATTGTATACAATTTTTGATGAAGTCATTTAAAATATATTATCCTTTTTTTTGATTGTTATTGTATTTCTATTATGATCGATATTCGAGATCTTTTTAACTTCGAGCACGTGTCATCATCCCTATTATATATTTACAACCCCCCACGTGTCTCATTTTCCAGCTTTTAAAGACTTATTGGCCTTTTTTTTTTTATGAGTGTTGGGTTTTGTTGTGGTTGTTCGCAGTGATGATTTGCTTCGTGAAAAAAAAAAAGAATACAAAAAGAACAAAAAAAAAAAAAGGGCACCTTTCTATTTACATCCTTTTCAGAGAAACCTTCTTTTCTACCTACCTACCTTTCGTACCTGTCTACCTGTCGTCTGATCTATCTTTCTGTCTGTCTTTGTCGGTTGGTTGGGATGTGGATGGTTCTTCGAAAACATTGACTAGCACCTTACCTTACTACTACTACTATTACTATTATTATTACTATTACTACCTAGATCTCTACCTGACGACCCAGGTAGAACGATTATCTTTATAGCAAGGTGTGTTCCCTACACGTGGCTTAACGCTTCGATGAAAATCGAAAAAGGAAACTACAATATATATATATATATACAACAAAACAACACACCCATGTTTTGTGGGTTTGTACAATACTACACTTGTCTACCATTATATCTTTTCTTTGCAAACTTTTTGACTTTTAAACCATCCATCCTCTATTCTTGGTAAAATGATCGAAATCTTTTCACACAAACAAACAAATCAAAATATCTCTCAGTCCCTTTTCACAGATTTTCCCTTTTCTGTCCGTACCCCAGGGTGTCTTTTGATAATGATGTTGTTTGTGTGTATTTTGACACGAAAAGGTGTTGTAATCGATATCCTAAACCGCACTTGGGTAAATACAGTAGTAAAATATTGGGAATTAGAATGTTTTGAAGGAAATAATATAAGCTTCTCACAGAGGTTCTCCTTTTTCCAAAACTTGTCGATCTTTTAAAAGCCATTCAGTAAAAGCGTGAAATCTTTTGGGTCCTTGAGATGATTTCTTCTTTTCGGATCCCTTTTCGTAAATTATTCTTCCCTACGGGGTTTCTTTTAAAGTGATGTTTGGTATACTTACATCTTTTTGTATTTCTAAATGTGAAAAATTATTGACGTAATTGATCGAATTAGAAATGATTAGGTTAATTATTAAAAATTAACACATTCGCGACCGCTGACGTGATTCACGTCACATATACACACGTAATTTTCATATATATATTAAATAATATTAAATAAAAATTTAATAAAAATATATTTTTAATACATATAATTTATATTTATATTATAATTATAAATTAATTTAATATTTATATTATATTATTATATTTATATTTATATTATAATTATAAATAAATTAAAAATTATATTTATATATATATATATAATTTATATTCAGTTATTTCAATATAACATTTAAATAATTATATTTTATTATATTATTATATTTTATTATTTAAATACCAATTTAAATAATTCATTTTTTTTACCAGTACTCAGTATAAAAAAAAAAAAGAAAAAATATGCCGGCCGCGAATGTGTTAATATAAAAATGAAAATAATTGAAAAAGGTGTACATAAAAACAGATTAGTTTTATTATATTTATGTGATTACAGTGTTATTTCTAATTTCTAAAACGTTATCTCACACACGAAAACGAAAATAGTCAGATTTGCCAAGTTCACGTATCCCAAGAAACGACATTATCGTTGAACAAACATTGTACGAAGTACGAGTACCTCGTTGGAGGGCATATTATCTGTCCTATTAGCACTGGGATTCACGTGTAGAACTATAAGAATTTTCTTTCCTTTTTATCTCTTGACACAATGGACGATTTAACGATTATCGTGTATATAAGGCAAACAACGACCAAAAAAAAAAAGAAAAAATACAAAAATTACAAGAAGAAAACGATAAAGACAAGATAAAGAAAACGAAACGACGAACGAAATATACAAAAAAAAAAAAGAAAAAAATAATTTAATACAAATGTGCGATGTAAAAAAAAAAGTCATAAAAATATTTTAAAGCAAATGAGTAATTTCAAAAAGATTGTGAAAAAAATGTAATACGAAAAAAATAATAAAATAAAGAAGGAAATGAAAAAAAAAAAACAAACAAAAACAAGAAAATAGGATATTTGAATTTACACATATATGTATGTTAAAATATGCAATAGATAAATAAAAAAAAGATTATTACAATAAGATAAATTAAATTATTATAATAATTATATTGATTAATTTATAATTATTTCATTATAATTAAAAGTTATTGGATTGTCAGCATTATATATGCTTTTCGCGGCATTTAATTAAGTGTGCTTCTTGCAATGGTAGTCCTAATGCTTTTTCTAAACTCTCTCTCTCTCTCTCTCTCTTTTTCACCCACTTTCTATTTTTTTTTATCTATCTTTATAATAAATATACATACATATATTTATATACACACATATATACTAACATACATATATACATAATATATATATATATATATATATATATATATATAATTTACAGAGTTAATTAAAATGAGTGGCAATGATATAAGACTTGATTATATATATATATCTTATCTTTTCGGCCTAAGCTTTTTGCTCCCTGGAAAGCCCAACTGCTAGTACTTTTCGTATTACTCGGTGGTGCCCTTTTTGCTTGACCCTTTCGACTAGTAGTAGAATCCTCGATACTCTATTTCTATCTCTCTCTCTCTCTTATCCTACTATGTCTTTTTCTATTTCGCTGTATTCGTCGTTGAGTCGGCGGACCCTTTAGACCGGTCAACCAACCCCCCCCAGCCCAGCCCAGACCAACCCACCTTGTAGCCCACAGAACAAGAAGCATTTTAAGCCTTTGCATCCGCAGTAATGCGAGTTTTCGCTTTTGGTATGTTTCCAGAACAGCAGAATCCGGAGTCCGAGCGTAAAGGGAGGAGCCAGGAACGCGCCGAATAAATGACGTAAATCCGAAGAACGGAAACGCAACGTCATTCGCTAACTCGCAATTCTCATTCCCTCTCCTCCCCCCTCTCTCTCTTTCTCTCTTTCTCTCTCTCTGTCTCTTCTTTTTCTTTCTTTTTTTTTTCTATCCAAATCCCTTCTCTTTATTCTATTCCAGCTTCTCACAGGCCTTCCTTCGTCCTTCGACCCGACACGGATCGACCTACGAACCGGACCTTTGCTCTCCCTTCTTCTTCTTCTTCTTCTTCTTTTTATCCCCACTACTTTGCTTTTTCGCCTTTCACGTGCTTACCGGTTTTTCTCTTTCCCTTTCTTCTCTTAACATATATCCTATAGTTATATGTATATATATTTTTCTATATTATATTGCTGAAGTCTCCTTTTTCTATTATAAATTCAACACATGTCGTTTATCACGATTGACCTCTCTCACTCGCTCGCTCGATCCTCCTATCGAGATCACGTCTCGAATAAAGTCTTATTAAAGTCATTATTTCTTCTTTCCTTAATTAATTTTTTACTTTCTTTTTTTTTTCTTTGTTACAAACAAAAACAAATCTTCTTTCAATTCCTCCTGACCGACCTTCCTTTCCAGTAGACTCGACACGAGACACGCGTTGGTTTGAGACCGGCTTGAAGGACACCATCAGCGGCTTTTTGAGACACGTATACATACAATACATGCTACTACTACTACTACTACATCATCAACAACAACAACAACAACAACAACAGCAGCAGAAGTAGAAGTAAAAGCAGAAGCAGCAGAAGCAACAACAACAACAGCAGCAGCAGTATTATCAATAGTAGTCTGCATAAAAAGCATCGGCTACAAAACACCAATAACAACAAGAACACAATTATCGTCATATTCGTCGAGACGTTTAGAGAAGAGTTTCGAAGGCTTCCACAAGCTTTGCTCACACGAAAGGAGAAGAATTACGGAGTCGAGAGTAGAGAAGGAGGGTTTAAGGAAAGAAAAAGGAGAGAAAGATTTGCGGAGTTGTTTTATTCGAGAGAGATAGAGAGAGGAAAAGGTCTTTTTAAAAGGAACAAAATTAATCGAGTGATTCGACTAGCAGGCTCTATAATCCTCCTTTCTTCATCTTTGTCTTCTTTTACTACTACTTTTTCTTCGGACAAGTCGAGATCTTCCTTGAAAAAGTGAGTTGATGAATATCAACTGCATCAAACAACAAGAGTAAAAGTTAGCACAATAGTGCACGTAAAAGTAGTAGTTATATTACAAAGAAAAATAAAATAGAGAAGACACGCACACACACACACACATACACACACACACACACGTGTCTCTGGCGCTTCCTATAAAATAAAATAATCAGAAGCGATTAAAGATTAAAGAAATTTCATTATAAAAAGAGAGCTGCAGTGTAACAACAACAACAACAACAATAACAACAACAACAACGATCACAGCTTACTACGCGAAAAAATCAACGAAAACGAAGAGTTGTTCGATAATTGGACGAAACAACAACAACAACAACAACAACAAATTTTCTCTCTCTCTCTTTCTTTATCTCTTTCTCTATCTCTTTCTCTCTCCTCTCTCTTTCTCTCTTTCACTCCAGCTACTTCTCTCGTTGAACGTATTACCCAACACCATCATAATAAGTTCGCATTAGTGTCTCTCTCTTTGACCCTACAACAAAAATCTCTTCTAAGCAGCCAACAGCTTTCAAAGCAAAAAGCCAGAAGCAGTAGCTCGCTAATAAAACGTGTTAACCGCAAACAGTCTCCAATTACTGTACTGTTCATTACGACTGATTAATACAATCCAACCTGCTGATAAAAGAAAAATTCTAAAAGAAAGATAGAAGACGAAACGATCCTTCAATCATTTATTGTCTATCGTGTTTGTTAAACGCGAGTTAAAAAAGAAAAAAAAAGCAAGGTTCTTTTCTTGAAGATTTCTTCGTGAATTTATATATATATATATACTTTCGGGATTATATAAAAAAAAATTCAAATTGAAAAATACACATACACAGGACATACACATACGTATAATACAAGGAAGAAGTTCGATAAAAAAAGAAGGGGCTGAAAAATCTAAAAAMTAAAAATAAAAAAAATTGTTCGTTCGTTCGTCGATAAATTCCTACGTGGAGAGAGAGAGAAAGAAAGAAAAAAAAAATAAATAAAAGAAAAACAAGGTAGGAAGATTCTCGTATATTCCCTAAGGTGTATACGCAACGACCCCGCGGCAAACTATACTCTGTTCAGCGATTTACGTTTAACGAGGTCCGAGAGAAAGAAACGTGATTGGTCTCTCTTTTGATATTATTTTTGTTTTCTTCTTGTTTTAACGTTTGATAAATAATTGGTATAAATCTATGATAGATAATTGTTCGTTTATTTTACTTTTCTTTTTTTTTATTTCTTATTGTCGATAAAAAATAAAAATAAAATAAATAAAAAGAGACCTCGATACAACGTAATCCATATTATTATTATTATTATTATTATTATTATTATTATTATTATTATTATTATTAATAATAGGGTGCCGCGTGGTCGTAGCTTTTGAGAAACAAATTTTTGTTAATACAAAATATTATTCAACATATACAAAACGAAAAGTAGGAGTGAGTCATCAAATCCTATCGATAAAAGATCGGCCCTACGCGAGTGAAAGCATAAGAAGAAAAGAAGATAAATATTAAATAAATAAAAGAAGGAAGGAAGGAAGGAAGGAATCAATCAATCAACATTAACAACAAACAACAACGACCAACTGAAATCAATTATTTCTTGTTCTTCGTTGATCGAACCAAGAAATTACTACATTACCACTACTACTATCAGTTCTTCTTCATCTTCTCCTTCTCGTTTGAAACAACCTAGAGACAGATAAAGAAAGAGAGAGAGAGAGAGAAAGAAAGAAGTGCGTTAAAAGATAGAAGAATAGTAAACAAAACAAAAACAAAAAAAAATACAGTGTAAGAGAGATACAAAGTCTCTCGTACGTTCTCTTCTTATACTGGGAGAATGGCAATGGTCAACATGAATAACCTACTCAATGGCAAGGACTCGCGGTGGCTCCAGCTCGAGGTTTGCAGAGAGTTTCAACGCAACAAGTGTACCAGGCCTGACACGGAGTGCAAGTTCGCTCACCCACCAGCCAACGTCGAGGTGCAGAATGGACGGGTCACTGCTTGCTACGACAGTATCAAGGTAATATAACACTACATTATCTTATTATCGATTAATCTTTCATCGTTGGTAATATCATCGTCGTATCTCTTCACTTCAATTAATACTTTGTCCCATAGTCAAGGATTTACTATATCTATGAAATCAATGATCTTATTTATTTATTTATTTTTTTCTTAAAATATATTTACGATTCTATCGTGTGCAAAAATAGTGCTATTAATATTAGAAATAATTTTGTTCAATGGTTTTTTTGTTTACATTTTGTTAACGGTAGGATAGATGATAGCGTTTAGAATTTGAAATCTAATAATATTATACTTTTGAGTTATCGTTATAAAAAAAGGGTTTGAAGAAGATTGCTTGAATAGACAATAATAAGAATAACGAATAAGAGACTTGTATTCACGAGAAGAACGGTATTGAACGAAGTGTCGTGTGTGTTTCACCTACCTTTTTCCAAATTAATATCTAATCTAATATTATCTGAAACTTATTATTTGCTGTGTATAAAAGTGTTTTTCGTGTATATTATCTATCCCCCCACAAAACATTTTTCGATTTCAAATGTAATTTATATAAATTAATTCTTTGCATTCGAGAGATGCCGAATAAGCGCTCGACAGGTTTAAGTGGCAACTCGACCGGCGCTGATACGGCACCCGGCTGATTTCAAGTCTTTTGTTACTCTATTTGCTTAAGATAAGATATTTCTTTGAAGATATACTTAAAGATAATACTTAAAGGGACTGTAAGGTTTGCTCTGTTCGTAATACACCTGAAGGTAGACGGGAAGTAACATATTATTGTAATACATTTTCTGATAAACACCTAGGATGCATCTTAAGTATTGTTTTATGAAATATCATACAAAATCTAATTACAGATTAGAATATTTCTCAAATTTTGTTTTTGATATAAATATAATTAAATTGGTAAAATTTGATTATTTGTATAAATTTGTTTGTTAATAAATAACTTTAAATTACATGTAAAATGTTTCCCTAATTTGGTCAAAATCATCTCGAGTTGCTGGTTAGTTCAAGGGTTAATTTAAATTTAACATCACATTATATTTGACATATTTTTTATAATAATTCATGATTCAATTATCAAACGATTTATATTAATCCAATTATTAAATATTAAACTAATCAAGTTGATAAACTTACATTAGTGTTAAAAAATAAAGTGAAACTTAATTATTAGAATAAAGAAAGAAATATTTTTTGTCAAGGGGGTTTTTTTTTTATTCTTTTCATGCTACAAAAGATTATACGATTTTTTAATCGCATAATAAACGTTTAATTCATATATACCTATATATATATATATAACCGTGGGCACGAATTAAATGGGCGGGGTGGGTGGGTAGTCAAAGATACGAGCAGGGTGTGGCTCTTTTTCTTCCCCCCTGTCTAAATGTCTTTTCTCGCGGATATTGAATGCGAAAATTGAATTTGCAGTTATTAATAGAGACAATTATTCAACGCCTGAGGGCAGACGAGAAGGGAAAAGGGTACGGGATAAGGGGATGAGAAGGAATAGGAGGAGAATGTCAGGGTAGCAGAGAAAGTCGTTCTTTTCGTGAATTCTCGAGTTCGACGAATTGAACGACGACAAGGTGGGGCAGAGAGGGGGTCAGAGGGAGAGAGAGTGAGGAGGGGGGGNAGAAAGGAAAGGAAAAAAAAAAGAAAAAGGAAGACTTATAATACTTACTGCGTAAAAATCGCGTATAATCTTTTATCTTGAAGGTTCTCGTAGGTTCGTAACTCGTCGACGCGCAAATAGCCTTTTCTCTGATTAAATTAGGGGAACAGAGAGTTGATCTATATAAACTATTATTTCTACTCATTTCTTTCTTTTATTTCTTTCTTTTTTTTTTTTTTTTTCAAATTATATTCGTCAATTTTTCTATCTCTTTTTCTGAGATCTCATGATGGATCAATCGATGATTCATTTCTAAACGATTTTTTTTTTTTTATACAAATTCATCATTCTTATTTATAATAGATACTTCGTATACTCAATTAAGAGTTGCATTTAGATTTGTAATTTGAGAAAAGAAAAAAAAAACAATTGAAATTATTTTTATACGAAATATGATAAGTAAATTTGTAAAAATTGTTTTAATTTCTTTTGGGATTATTCTATTATTGAATTTATCATTAATATAATAATATGATATATGTATATATATATGCGACGTGTTAATAAGTTTCTTCAAATAAGTATTATCATCTATAATAATTAGTTGGAAGTTTAAGATGAAGAGAGAATTTGTTTAGATGACAATAGCAATTCCGCATAGTGTTTAGATTGACGCGTTTCATAACGATTCCATTATATTATGACGTCGTTGACAACATAACTGGTACGTTTTCTCATATAGAGTACCGGAAGGTAATCGTAGAATTAGAATACATCAATATGTCGGTATCTCTCGTAATAGCATAATTGGAACACGTCGACGTATTCTAACCGTTTAATGAATCGATCGTTTTCTCTTCCACCAACTCGCGAGATTCTCTCGCGTGTCACACGAAAGCATTAAACAAAACTCATTTTTTTTTACGTTTTCTCTCTTTTTATCTCTCTCTCTCTCTCTCTCTCTCTCTTTGGTATATTCTAAATAATATGTATTTCAAAATTTAAATATATAGAGTAGGCCAAATTTTTGTGTAATATATAAGACTTTAGTTATTAGATAGATTTTTTTTGAATTTTTTTTTTTCTATATCAGAAATTATGTCTTACGAAGTATGAATACGAAATTACATATTTTATATTATGACGAAATTATCACGCAATTCTTTTGAAATCCTGATGCAACTGATGACTTGTAATAGCATTCTTCTTTTTACGTAGTATGCGAAAAAATTTGTATATAGATAGTACTTTTGATCAAATGTTTCTAAATGAATAATAAATTTTATTATTAGTTTCTATGAAGATTTGTTAGAATTATTTTGTTATATATTCTTTCGTAATTAGTAAATTGTGTGCCTAGAAAAAAATTTAAGAAAATAACGAACATAATAAATACACAGTTAATAAATTCATACTAATAAATTCATACTGCATACTAATATAACATTAGAATGATAAAAATGTTTAAATTTGAACGTTGTATTGTTAAAATCACTTTCTTAGGAATAATATTACCGTGGCACACATGTACACTGTTCGGAAAGTCATATAAACAACACTTAATAAAAGAATTTTGGTAAAGGACTTTGTCTCAGTCTGAAGGTGAATTTCGAGGAGGACGGTACTCCGAACATATACTCGGTGTTTTCAAATTGCAATATACATTTCTTTTGATTAATTAATTATTATTTAGGATAAATTGAACACTCTACTTTACTTTTTAGTAGTATTTATTAATTAATTAAATAACAATTATTTAAAATAAATCTAACGTTTTAATTTACTTTTTATTCGATATAGTTGATTGTTTAAATTAAAATACATATATGTTTTAATATTCCTAATAGGTGATACAATAATTTTGTATTGCAAATATTTATTTAATTAAATATACTATCAAAATTATTTAATATATATATATTCGAATTATATTAAAATAAGTATTTAATATATAAATTATATTAATATATTTATTTCTTAATTTTCTTTATTTAAAATTCAACAACATTATATGAATAATTTTGACAGTCATATATAGATAAATATGAAACAGAAAGAATACATAGTATGATGAACGGAAATTTATAGATATCTTACGTAATAATATGGATAAAGATAAAATCGTACTATCTGGTGGATAAGCCTTCTATTCCTCATAGAAGTCTCTTTCATGGATAATGCTAACACATACACATACACACGCATATTATCGGCGAAATATGTTCCGAAGTTGAACGCATTAAATTGTTCCCCTATTGTATGTATGTGTGTGTGTGTTAGTAGTCGAGTTTCCTACGATCAAGCAAGTATTATAAGAACGGAAATAACTTGGCTATCGTAGTCAACGTTATCATCAAGTTGCTTTTCTTTGCTGATATCTAAAGAAACATAAACTCTTGATATCGAGATAGATAAGAATCGAAGTTAGATAAATAACCAACCACACATACGTATATATATATACACCACACACATCACACATACGTATACACACATATATATTTTATTATTTCAATTTTTTTTCTTTCTTTATCGTCACCGAACGAGTATTGAAAGAAGAAGAAGAAGAAGAAGAAATAAAAAATAGAAAAACAGAACAATAATATTTCTTTATCATGTTATGCTTATAATTTATTTTTTTTTCAATTAACACTACGAACTTTTATTCGTTCTGGTTATATATCATAAGAAAAAAAAAGTAAAAACCTTTTTCGTTCTTTCATTCGTGTGTGTTTTTCGCATTCGACGCACGCGGTGGCTTCGAATGAAACTCTACTGAAAATCAATTTCGACATGGACTAGAAACGTGTGGTCCCCTCAAAAAAAAAACCCCTATACAAATAAAAAAAAAATCTAACTTTTTAATCGTCAATATATATATATATATATATATATATATATATATATATATTTATATATAAAAAAAATAATAAAAAGAATTCATAAACGATTAACAAATAGAAAACTAGTTAACAATTTTCAAATAGAAGTCCAAGAGTTTAGTTTAGTTATCGGTCGCTAAAGTTCCGATGTAAAAATAGAAAGAGGGAAGGGGTAAGGGTGATGAGGGTGTGGTAGGGTGGGGAGGAAATAGAGTAATAAACGAGAGGGATAGAAATCGAGAGTGTGTGAGAGAGAGAGAGAATATCGTCGAGTTTCTCTATCGTCGGTTCATCGTTGGTGTCGTCGTCTTGCTCGTTTCTTGGTCGGACGTCGTCGACGTCGTTTAATTCTGGAAGCCATTAATGTCGTCGTATGGAGGGAGGGAGGTAGGGGAGAAAGGGTGGAGGTGGGGGTTCGTTTGAAAGGCTCGCTTGTCCGTCGATCTTCAGCAGTCTCTTCTCGCACGTTCCTATATCTTTCTCTTTCTC